AATAACTCTGCGAGTTTTCAACATTTTTCGTTCAAACTTGGTCAGATAGTAGAACTAGTCTAATGCTTTCATGGAAACCAATAAAAAAATTTTAGGCAAAATTAACACTCAAAGGTGTTCTGTAACCTTAAAAGAGGAGATTGCAACAACGCCTGCGTTGACAACGGTATATAAGAGGAATGCTTTCACCAAACATCGTGGGTTTTCTAGAGAGTTTGGTTGGCTCTTACTCTGAACCGCTAGGAATTGAAGTTTGGAAATGATATAGCTATACGCAGCTAGAATTCATATTCTCAGTTAAGCAATTATAATCCAATATTTGTTTAGTTTAGTTTAGTTGAATTTGTTTGACATAAATCTGTATTTTTTATTGTATACAATCATATAGTCAATTTAATGTGTTTTGCTTAATGGGAATTTCAAAATTAATCAACATTTATTTTAGACGTTAGGAATTGAAGTTTGAAAATGATATAGCTACAGTATATAATCCAATATTTGTTTAGTTGAATTTTTTTGACATAAATCTGTATTTTTTATTGTATATATAATCAATTTACTTTGCTTTGGTTATGGGAATTTCAAATCAACATTTATTTTAGACAATCTATGGCGAGGTCTTACCACTGCAGTCAAACAACGACTTCGTTGGTCTGAAACGATTCTTGAAGAAACGCTTTTTGGCCAACCCTGACATTTGTAAAGAATATCGTCATGCAACAGTGGCCGAAGCTTATCGCCCTGGTAAAGTTTAGGAAAAATTCTAATTTTTATAGTAAAATAAATAAGTTTGGAAACTCTATTATCTCCCCTGAATAGAGTTTTCAGTGCCTTGTCATGCAAATAGCTTGCTTGCAACGAACGTTTGGAATTTTTACGAACATTATTTTTAGTTTTTAATTCTCTTAGGAAATAGACTTGCCTAGATTTAATCTTTACACCCCAAATATTATTTACATTGGAGTTGCATCATAAATTGTACTCGGATTCAAACGATACAATG